GGGGTCACAAAGAGTTGGACACAACTGAAAAATGACTCAACAACAAAAGGGAACTGATTCTAATTTATAAGAATAAGAGACATTCAGCAGTTGATAAATGGTTACAAAATACGAATAGTTTTCAGAGGAAGAAATCCAAAATATCAGTAGTCAATAAGAGGGAAAGGAGATGAGATCAGCTGGTATTATCAAGAGGACTGAATACAAATTTAAGACCTGGCCTTGGCATGGAAAAGGGTTAGCACTTCATCAGAGACTGGAGAAAAGGAGGAATGGCTTTCATTTTTTTCAAGTGCTTTGAAATAATAATAATAATAGACAGTATTTGTATAGCACTTTACAAATACTATCTCATTTTGTTCACACAACAAACATAGATAGGAACTATATCTTACCTAAAACTTTGTATCTTCTCAAATTAGCACAGGACTTTAGCGGTAAAGTCCTTAAAAAAAATGTTTGTTGACTGAATAATGAGTTTCTTTGTGTATGTGTATATGTGTTTGGATGTGAGTGAATCCAAATTAGAACTGTTAGCTCCATGAGAGCTAAAAGGACTGGTCAGATAATTTTTCATAGCCCCTACAGAAGACAATAATCATTTGTTGACTGATATTTTGAAAAAATTCCAGAAATGAGATTCACCAACCTCCAATGGTCTCTCATTCCCAACACTTTTCCAAAAGGAGAGAAGCAGTATGGGATAGTGGTAGAGAAAGGGTCAAGAAGACCTGAGTTCAGGTTCTGCTTCTGACACATAGTGGCTGTGGGACCCTAAGCAAGTAGTTTCTCAGTGAATCTCAGTGTTCTAGGAAACTCTCTAAGCCTGAAAATTGGAGAGAAGGTGACCACCTGCACTAGTCAAAGGGAGATTTCCCACCCAGGGGTTCCCTAGACCAAATAAATCATAGGCCCAGTATATAATCCTCCACTGAAAGAAAGGGCTGATGCCTTAGTCCATGCCTTGGTCAAAGACTTTTTCTATACAATCTCTCAGATCTCTTCCATCTCAGAAATTCTGAGTCTTTCAGTGAGCAAGGTCACTTACGTTTCTGGCTCTGGTCCTGGTGTAGATGTATTGAGTTCCAGAATGAAGAATCTGCTAAAAAGAAGAACAGTAGATGAAATATGGTCCTTTTGATAACGAAAAGGAATGAAAGGAAAAAAGAGGAGGAAAGGAGAGAAAGAAAGCAGGGAAGGAGAGAAGAAGGAAGGAAGGGAGAGAAAATGGATGGAAGGAAAGGAAGTAAGAATATGGGAAGAAGGAAGGAAGGAGGAAAGGAAGGAAGGAAGGAAGGAAGGAAGGGAATAGCATTATGTGCCAAACACTGTACTAAGTGCTAGGGATACAAATTGAAAAAGCAAGACAATCCTTGTCCTCAAGAAGTCTACATTCTAAAAGAGAGAAACAACATATACCAGGGAAGTAGTTTTGGTCAGAAAAGCCATGAGGTTAATGAATGTAGTCACAAAGCAATTGACTGGCATATACTTTCCAGGAGCCATAGTGTAGTAGTGTTGATTTGACTACTGGTCCTGGAGTTAGAGATGGAAAGCAGAGAGGATGATAGGTATGCCCACTGTAGCATGGCATGAAGATAGAGCAGCAACATGCTAGGTGTAGGTCAGGCTAGTTATGGTGATTACTCACCAGCAAGAAGCCCATGGCCCCAGAGAAGAGCACAAGTTAGAATAAGATATTGTGAGAAATTATTATTTCTCTCTTGTATTTAATAACTAATAATTTAATCAGAACCAAGGCTTTTCCCCTTTTCTACTTCCTCATCTAGAAACCAACCAGTGTAGAAATCTTAGGCAGAGACTTACCCAGGCCAAGACCTAATTAGGCAGTAAAAAAAATTCTAAGTTTGGGATAATGGGAGCATTCTTGCTCATTGTGTTTGCTTGACAGGTCTGAGAAAATGTGGATCCTCCTTTTTGTCAGGTAGGTGATACGAATATTGATAACTCTCTTTGACTAAAATTTGGGTGATCCAAGTCACATACCCCAAGACCCTCATTGTAATATAGCCCGTTCTCTCATGGTAATATTCATTTTCTCATTATTTGTTAACCAATCAGAGTTCATTGCCATCCTCAGGAACATTTACTCCTCGAAGAGCATACAAACTGTAAGTCCACTGCCATTAGGAGTCTTTGGTGTAAGACAGATGGCCAAATGACCATCCTTTTTTAATAAACATGCTGGTTTTATTAACAAAATGATTCAGTTACCCAGAAATTATGTCTCTCAGACCTTTTCAAATGCCACAATATCTAAGGATGAATGTCAATACATCTGATATTTAAGCTAACATTAGAAAAAAAAAAAAAGAACTTCACCAGCATCAGGGAGGGAAGAGGGACATATTAGGAAATGAAGGTATATATATGTAAAAAAAAAATTAAGAGAGGAAAAACATGAATTTTGTCACGAACAACTTGCAAACATAACTCAGGAGAGATGGAAAGGCAGTTAATTGGGTGGCCATACTTACCACAAGACGATAAATATGAGGGGCACAGCCAATCTCAAAGACCACTTACCAAGTCATAGGATGGCTATGAGAGCCTCACCTCTGAGATACAGTTCCCCTGACAGAAAAAAGGAACTAGGTTTCCCAATCATCCAGCTCTAATGTCAAAGTTGCACAACTGAAAGGCACACATGGTTATCAAGTCCTAATTTATGACTCTCTGCTTAAGGCAGGCATAGAAAGGTTGGGAGAGAGCCCTATTCCAAGAAGACTTTACACAGAGGCATAGCTAGACTATGATACCTGAGAGGTTGTTCTCTTGACTTTGCTCCTCACTCCACCACAACCATGTAGACATGACATGCACACACATACACATACACACACTAATAGGGAACTGAGAGAACAAGCAGTTTTATGTTATATGAATAATCATAACTAAAATAAATTGCTACAGATAAAAGTACTGGTAAAGGGAGAGTTGTAAAATAATTCAAAGTCCTGCATACATCTTCAGCTAATTGGCCCCCAGACTCTGGCAAAAGGGGAAGAGAGTGGCAGAGTCAAGATGGCAGAGAAAAGGAGCGACTTGCCTGAGCTCTCCCCAAATCCCTCCAAACACTTTTAAATAATGCCACAAAATAATTCCTGGAGCAGCAGAACCCACAAAAGGATGAGGTGAAATAATTTTCCAGCCAAACTTAGAACAACTTAGAAGGTCAGCAAGAAAGGTCTATTGCATCTGGGTGACAGTGGAACATAGATCAGGGCAGAAGGTGCCAGCATAGACTGGGCCCCAGCAAATCAGCAGCAGGCCTTGGGAGCCACTGAATCCACAGTGGCAGCAGCTGCCTCTGGAGCTTTCAGGCCACAGACAGTAAGGGGGTCAAAAAACTGGTCAGAAGGAGGTTACAGGGGTCTCTTTGCTAGCACTGAGGCAGGACTCTGTTGCTTTGCGCATACTCGGATCCAAGTTGCAGTCCTGGGTGGCAGTCCCAAGGCAATGAGGAGCACTAGCACACCAGATCTTGCAACTGCAGTGGAGCAGAGACCCTCCTTACAATTCCAGGGTAGAAAAGAGTGCTTGTGATCTCTTACAGACAAAAACACAGGCCAGGAGAGTAGTAAACATACCTCTCCTTAAAGCAAACCATCTTGGAAGAACTGAAAACTTACAGGTCCCTAGAAATATCTCTGAAAATAGCTACACAAAACCCCGGAAACTTGAAACAGTCCACCCTCCACCCTGGAAGCAGAGCCCTACTTTAACAAAGAAATAGGATGGGAAAATGAGCAAACAACAGAAAAAACTTCTGACCATATAGAAAGTTACTATGGTGACAAAGAAGATCAAAACACACACTCAGAGGAAGATAACAAAGTCAAAATTCCTACATTCAAAGCCTCCAAGAAAAATAGGAATTAGTCTCAGGCCATGGAAGAACTCAAAAAGAGTTTTGAAAATCAAGTAAGAGAAGTGGAGAAAAAATTAGGAAAAGAAATGAGAGTGATAAGAAAATAATGGAAAAATGAGTTAATAGCTTGATAAAAGATACACACACACACACACACACACACACACACATTCTGAAGAATACAGCACCTTAAAAAACAGACTAGGCCAAATGGTAAAAGAGGTACATAAAGCCAGTGAGGAGAAGAATACCTTAAAAAGCAGAATTGGCCAAATGGAAAAAGAGGCACAAAAATTCACTGAAGGAAAAAACTCCTTAAAAAGTTGAATTTGCCAAATGGAAAAGGAGGCACAAAAGGTCACTGAAGAAAATGTTTCCTTAAAAATTAGAATTGAGCAAATAGAAGCTAATGACTATTTGAGAAATCAAGAAACAATAAAACAA